CACCATCACCACCACCATCAACTTCATCACCACCATCACCAACATCATCACCACCAGCATCACCTCCATCACCATGACCACCTCCACCACCATCACCAGCATCACCACCACTGCCATCATCGCCACCACCATCAACTTCATCACCACCATCACCATCATCACCACCAGCATCACCTCCATCACCATGACCACCTCCACCACCATCACCAGCATCACCACCACCATCACCTTCACCATCACCACCAAACAGAAGAAAGATTTTCTTTTAATGGGGGGTGGGGGGTAGAGAAAATTCAAATGCTCTGCATACAGCTTTGACCATAGGAAACTTTTTAATAAATTCAGGCTTTGAACTCTCTCTAGAAATTTGTATTCTAATGCTTTGTTTCCGCCATGCTTGCCAATCAAGACAGGCATCACTGTCCTTCACATAATCATTTTCTTGTTCTTCATACGGCAACATTTCTTAAGCATCTTATGTGCCAGACATTTTTGTCAGATGTGGGGATAGATCAGTGATCAACTAGACATGGAATTATATTCAATAAAGGGGACACAGAGAAAGACTATAAAATGTAGGCAGGCACTCATCACCACCAGGGTGCTCAAGGAAGGCCTCTCCCGGAAGCTGAAATTTCAGCTGACTTGAGTGCCCCTGGTAGACAGCTTGGTGAAGCCAGAACAAAGAGCATCTCAGGCCTGGGGGCTGCTGGGGCAGAGCTCGGGGGTGGGAGCTGGCTTTGCAGGTTTGTGTGTGGGGCGCAGAAAGACCATTGTGTACCAGGAACAGAGGAAGGCTGGATGTCGTGAGGGGAGTGTGCAAGATGAGCTTGGGCAGGAATAGGGGCCTGGTCACATTAGCCTGTTTTCATTTTGGTGGCAGTGTTTCCAGATACACAAACAAGCCAACCTCAGAATTCTTCCCGTTGAAGGAATTATAGCAGCTTCTGAGTGCTTGACTTTTGCACTTCCTTTTCCAGTGTCAGGCTTGCTTCTTGGGACTCACCACACTCTGTGGTTATCTGGTAATTTCTTAGGGATGTTTGTTTGTTTCTCCTTCTCCCCTAGAAGCTCCCCGAGGGCAGAGACCCACCTGTTGTGCCACACTGACTGCTCCATCCCCAGCAGCGTGAATCCCGCCTGGCATATAGGAGATGCTCAATGGATATTTGCGTGAGGCGGGGGGATATGTCCCCCATATGTACCAGGAGGAGTACACATGGATTGTTTTAAAGACTTACTGAGATGATCTAGTTATTTTCCTAGGGAACATCTGGGATGCGCTTTCCATGGATGCCTCTTGCTGGCGTTTTACTCTTGGCTGAAACGTCCCGTTTTCACAAGGGTGTTGTCTGACTGCTGATGAAAGAGTAAACCTTTGCCCTCGTTGCTTAAAGAAAATCACAGGAACTTATCACCGTCTGAAATCATCTTGTTTACTTATTCCACAAGTGTGAGCTTCTTAAGGGCAGATACTGTCTCTATGCTGTAACTTTCTGCCCCAGGCCTAGGTGGTGCCAGGCTCTTAGTAGGTGCTCAGAAAATGTGTGTTGAGGGAATGGGTTTGATTTAAGAGTTTCAGGGCACTATTTGTTCAAATCCAAATCCTGTAGTCAGATCATCAGTACGGTGTTTCTAGTAAACTCTCCAAACAGCAAACGTATTTCCAGAGAGAGTTAAACATTCATCTTGAACTTGAATGACATGGGCCAAGAAGAGCCAGCAATCAGCATTTTTAAGCCTTTAGACTTATTCTTTTTTCTCACTGCTAATTTCTGCAGGAATAAATAGATGCTCACTGAAGAGCCCCCTCAGTCAGGAGGGTGGGGATGAAAGCTCAAATTATTTTCTTATTAATGTACAAAACTCCAAAAGTCTTTGCAGTCTGTATGCATTAACATTTGTTCTAACTGTAAAATTATTCTAAAAAGAAAAGTGATACTAAAAATATTAAGGAGTGTTAGACATAGCACTTTAAAAGCTGAAACTGAGCCTAGGTATAATTTAACTGAAAGTCGCACATTTTACAGCTGTGGCACCAACTGGAGAATTCCTCTACCTGGCTCACGAAGCTGGGACCCACCCCACGTAACTCTCATGCAGAAGCGCTTCGGTGTCCTGGAGGTACCAGTCCCCTTAGCAAAGGTAGGGAAACAGCTGGGCACGCTTGACGCAGCCCTGGCGACGGGGACGTACACCAGGGCCCCAGCACCACTCCACGTTGCACTGCCTTGAAGACCACGGCCCAGGCCTGTCACACGCACTAAGTGGTGATTGAATCCACCCTTTTCTCGTGAAAATGGCAATAGGTTACAAGCCAAAATTAGGCCTCTTCTTGCATTTGAGAGTTGTAGCTGTATTGTTTCCTAGAATATCTGATTGACGACATATACCACAGTACTTTTACATAGAAACCTTACTACATGATATTAAAATATTTTTGAGGAAATGCTGGAGAGCACTAAGCCAGTCCTTTAGATTATATTTCGTAAAAATTATTATTCCGCATTTTATAGTAGGGATAAAGGGAACATCCTCCTTGGGTTTTTATTATTTTAATTTTTTGCCTTTTTCATGTCTCCGTTACAAGTTCTTGGTTCTTTTCATAATTAATCAGAATTAATGACCTCTCAGTACTCTGAAATGTCTTACCTAGTCCACCTTTTCCAAGAATTATCAGAGAGAGTGAGTAGCTAGCATTTACTGTATGGGGTGCTGGGGTAAGTGCTTTACACGTATTTTTACACGTATTGATTTGTTTAATCCTCACAGGAACCATATGAAATAGGTCGGTGGTTTTCAAAGTGTTCTTTTGTCTGCAACCCATGCTAATGCATTTCATCATCATGATGCAGTAACAAACATCTTTATATATAACAAACAAAAGTGTCACCAATTAATGTTAACGCTGCAACCTACTCTATTTTCTTTTCTGCTCCTTTTTTAAAATACCAGTTTTGATCCGCTAAAGACTTCGTAGCCCACTAGCAGGTTGCAGGTCTCACAAAAAGTACTGCGGTGTGGTCCTTTTTTGCCCCCCATTTCACAGATGAGAAAGCTGACAGGTTAAGTGGACTGCCCAAGTGTCCCAGCCGGTGAGTGGCAGAGCTGGGATTTGAACAAGAGCATGGGTCTTACTTGGTTTACTAAACTGAATCATGCAGCAATACGACTTCCAGAAGGAAGTGGTCCTCAGGGTCATCGCCATCTTGCTTCTGTGATCAGGGAAAAAAAAAAAAGTACTTATAATACAAGTACTGTAACTCACCTCTGTTCTCCACCTGCCAAGAAGGAGCTGTTACACCCAGCATAAGATCGGGAGAGGGATGGGACCCTGAAGATTTGGGACTAGGGGGTGAGGATCTTCTGGTCTTATAAGGGATTTTGAAAACTTGGGGGTGAGGCAGACATGTTTAATTAGGATTTTTTTTTTTATTAAGTAGTACTGTGTGACTTTGAGGAAAAACTCTCTTCTATCTCCCTTCAAAATTCTCAGTAAAATTACCTACTTGCTGATACTTGAAACCAGGATTTGATTTTGGAGGTTGAAGTCCAGCCTCAAGGCTGAAACCAAGGCAGCCTCACCTGGTAACACTTCAGCGCAGAAACGCCGTACGCTCAGCCAACATTTATTAATTGTCCATTGTGTCTCAGGCGCTGTCCTGGGTACAGGGAATCACAGATGAATAAGGTCTCCTGGACACAGTTCCTGTGCATGTTGACTGGATCAGAAGAAAAGCATCTTGTGGATGCTCATAGCACCTCTGCGGTGGACAGAAAGAAGCCTGAGTTGTTAGCATCTCACCTTGTGGCCAGGGGTTCCCTGGTCTCACAGCTCTTCAGCTCCGTGTGGGATCCCTGTGCGCTGAACAGCGCCTGGCACGTTGTAGACACTTGACTCGCAGCCAGGCAAGTTGGATTTCAGAACTCACGTCGGGGACTCAGCTGCTTTCCATCTGCCTATAAAAGTGTGAATAAAAGTGCGACCGTTCACGTGGAGAGGCTGCCTTCCGAGGGGTGTCCATGAGCATGGTATACTGCACTTCCTGAAGTCGGCCCGGTGCCCAGTGATCCGCCTGTGCAAACATCAGCCAGCCGACTGGCACATTCCACTCCCTCTGCCCCCGACTGAGTAACATTTCAGTGTCCTGATTCCTTGACCCTGGGGGGCAAAGGGGAAAACATCTGTTTCGTCCCTCTGTTCTTCCAAACCCACAGAGCTCCTCCAAGCAGCCGGGGTTTGAAAGAAGCCCTTTGCCTGCCCTGACGGGGACCGGTGGGGCTGTGCGTCAGCCACACCTAGGGACGCACCGTGACGGAGGCCGCAGAGAGGCTGAGGGCAGCCGAGTCATCCAAGCAGAAAGCACGTCTAGGAGCAGATGTGCCTCCTGCAGAGCCGAGGGAGTCGTGAGGGGCGGGAAGTGCCGTGTATCTGGAGATGGCGGCGGGAGAGGGTGCTTTGCGGGGCAAGTACCCTTCTGCCTGGATTCCACCTCGAAACACGGGGGACCAAGCAGTCAAGGGGGGACACGCGCGCGAGCCGGCTCCGTGTGCGGCACCGGCTCCCGGGCAGCAGTAGCAGTACTTCCGTGGACTCCGTTGTATCCGAAATCTGCAGGCTGCCCTCTGACTGGATGAGTAATGTTTGTTTACATTTGGAACGGGGCTGGTGCCTGGTCACCGATGCCCTTGCCGTGTCGGCGACCCCTGTTCTTTTTAAAGGGTGTTTTCTTGGCTGTACGGCAGCCTGAGAGGGCTCCCCCTGCTGGCTGTGGCCGGTAGAACCTGAACGGTTAGGTCCCGGGGCTTGTATAGATATTTTTCACGTAGGTGCACGTGGGCTCCTGGAGCCCAGCTCTCAACTTCCCAATCTTCTTCCCGCAGCCTCCCTGAGCAGCCTTCTGATCACACCGTTCCCGTCTCCAAGCTCCTCTACGTCCTCCTCCAGCAGTTACCAGCGCCGCTGGCTTCGGAGCCAGACCACGAGCTTGGAAAACGGCATCATTCCCAGGAGGTGAGCTGGGTTCCCCTGGCTGCGCAGGGCACTGGGGCGGGCGGCCCGGCGATGCTGGCGGACACTGCACTCACTTGCTGTCACCATAGACGGGCCGGAGCTTTCTGCTCGGCTTCAGCTCAGCCTGGAATTCACAGGTGAGAGGTTCCGGGAAAGACCCTGGGACTACCTGGGTAGATCCGGCATTGGTTTAAAGTGAATGTGTGCTCTCTTTGCACTGGGTCCCTTCCAGGTGTGCCTTCGTAAGTTAGAAGGCTGGAACCAATCTTTCCTTGGTTTACGGTGACGCCAGTGTGGTCTTTGAAAATATATGAACTCAAGGATGGTTAATTTCTGGTGAAACAAATTCTTAAACAGTCAACAGTCTGATTATGAATAGAGACAGCGTCGAGATACTCTCTGCCTTCCTTTCAGTTGGTTTTCAGGTCTAAAGTTTCGTTATGTTGCAAAACTCACGTTTTTGGCTTATGATGATGTTACATCAGTACCTTCCCACCTCTTCTTCCTACAACCCAGAAACTTAAAGGGGAATTAAGAAATGAAGGAATTAATTACCTATGAAAAACCCACATGACAGTTGGTTACCTTAGTAAGTGAATAGAGGTCGGCATGTGTTGGCTCTGAGAAGGGGTAAAGAGCTGGCTGCAGGCCTGCACTTCAGGAGCTCACAGAGACGATGCTCACGTAAACAGTGGTGTGAAGAAGGTAAGTGCTAAACGCTCAGAGGGGCATGGGGGTGTGCGGCCCGGGGGCGGGATGCAGCCTCGCGGGAGGTCTTGGGGTTTGGGCAGCCTTCGTGAAGGGGGGGACCTGAAAGCACAGGCTGAGAAACAGGGGAGCCGAGGCGTGTGCAGGGCATCAGGCTGCTGGCCCTCTTCTCCCAAAATTAACATCACGTGTTAGTTTTGTTTGTTTGTTTGTATTTAAAGAAACATTATGTTCCAGGGCTTCGGGCATTTTCAGAATAATCTATAACATGAATGTAAGGCTTTTCCATTAAAAATATTTTACTTACAAAATATAATAGAAATAATAGTGATACGTGACTATTATCACAAAGTTATAAATTACTAAAATGTTTTGGTGTAAAAATTTTATATAATATAATCAATAGTAATACTTCAGTCACTATCTTCATTCATCGTAAGTTTTTGCTGGCTCACTTTTCTGCACATTCATTCGTTTAGGTCATCAAAATGTGTACGTCAATCGACATAATTGAAAGCAGCATTAGTCACTCCTGGCAAATGCAAGCTGACAAATAATTTTTGATAACTTTTTTATTTTGGGAAAGTTCTTTGTGCGCATTGAAGGTGTTACTGGAGCTTTATAGGTTATAACAACATTGAGATGAATTTGTAATAAACCTTAAAAATATAAATTTTGGGTTGTTTGGCCTGAGGTGATCCAGCACTGGAGGCTACAGGCTCTTTCTTGAGGCTAATGGCGGACTCTGGGAGGGCTAACGCCAAGGAGTACTTCCCAGAACTTCTGCTGCCAGTGTCCTTGTCCCCACAGTGAGACACAGCCACCCCCCACCTCTGCAGGAGACCCCCCAACACTAGCCAGCCGTGGGGCTGACAGGGTCTCGGTGCTCTGGCCGGGTGTCAGGCCTGAGCCTCTGAGGTGGGAGAGCCGAATTCAGGACATCGGACCACCGGAGACCTCCCAGCTCCACGTAATATCAATGGGTGAGAGCTCTCCCAGAGATCTCCATCTCAACGCTAAGACACAGCTCCACTCAACAACCAGCAAGCTACAGTGCTGGACACCCTATGCCAAACAACTAGCAAGACAGGAATACACCCCCATCCATTAGCACAGAGGCTACCTAAAATCATACTAAGTTCACAGACACCCCAAAACACACCACCAGATGTGGACCTGCCCACCAGAAACACAAGATCCAGCCTCATCCACCAGAACACAGGCACCAGTCTCCTCCACCAGGAAGCCTACACAACCCACTGAACCAAACTTACCCACTGGGGACAGACACCAAAAACTACAGAAACTATGAACCTGCAGCCTGCGAAAAGGAGACCCCAAACACAGTAAGTGAAGCAAAAAGAGAAGACAGAGAAACACACAGCAGATGAAGGAGCAAAGTAAAAACCCACCAGACCAAACAAATGAAGAGGAAATAGGCAGTCTACCTAAAAAAGAATTCAGAATAATGATAGTAAAGATGATCCAAAATCTTGGAAATAGAATGGAGAAAATGCAAGAAACGTTTAACAAGGACCTAGAAGAACTAAAGAGCAAACAAACAATGATGAACAGCACAATAAATGAAATTTAAAATTCTCTAGAAGGAATCAATAGCAGAATAACTGAGGCAGAAGAACGGATAAGGGACCTGGAATATAAAATAGTGGAAATAACTACCGCAGAGCAGAAAAAAGAAAAAAGAATGAGAAGAATTGAGGACAGTCTCAGAGACCTCTGCAACAACATTAAACGCCCCAATATTCGAATTATAGGGGTCCCAGAAGAAGAAGAGAAAAAGAAAGGGACTGAGACAATATTTGAAGAGATTATAGTTGAAAACTTCCTTAACATGGGAAAGGAAATAGTTAATCAAGTCTAGGAAGCACAGAGAGTCCCATACAGGATAAATCCAAGGAGAAACATGCCAAGACACCTATTAATCAAACTGTCAAAAATTAAGTACAAAGAAAAAATATTGAAAACAGCAAGGGAAAAACAACAAATAACACACAAAGGAATCCCCATAAGGTTAACGGCTGATCTTTCAGCAGAAACTCTGCAAGCCAGAAGGGAGTGGCAGGACATATTTAAAGTGATGAAAGGGAAAAACCTACAACCAAGATTGCTCTACCCAGCAGGGGTTTCATTCAGATTTGACAGAGAAAATAAAACCTTTACAGACAAGCAAAAGCTAAGAGAATTCAGCACCACCAAACCAGCTTTACAACAAAAGCTGAAGGAACTTCTCTAGGCAGGAAACACAAGACAAGGAAAAGAACTACAATAACAAACCCAAAACAATTAAGAAAATGGTAATAGGAACATACATATCGATAATTACCTTAAATGTAAATGGATTAAATGCTCCAACCAAAACACTGTCTGAATGGATACAAAAACAAGACCTGTATACATGCTGTCTACGAGAGACCCACTTCAGACCTAGGGACACATGCAGACTGAAAGTGAGGGGATGGAAAAAGATATTCCATGCAAATGGAAATCAGTAGAAAGCTGGAGTAGCAATTCTTATATCAGACAAAATAGACTTTAAAACAGAGTATTACAAGAGACAAAGAAGGACAGTACATAATGATCAAGGGATCAATCCAAGAAGAAGATATAACAATTGTAAATATTTATGCACCCAACATAGGAGCACCTCAATACATATGGCAAATACTAACAGCCATAAAAGGGGAAATCGACAGTAACACAATCATAGTAGGGGACTTTATCACGCCAATTTCACCAATGGACAGATCATCAAAAATGAAAATGAATAAGGAAACACAAGCTTTAAATGATACATTGAACAAGATGGGGACTTAATTGATGTTTATAAAGGACATTCCATCCAAAACCAACAGAATACACTTTCTTCTCAAGTGCTCATGGAACATTCTCCAGGATAGATCATATCCTAGGTCACAAATCAAGCCTTCATAAATTTAAGAAAATTGAAATCGTATCAAGCATCTTTTCCAACCACAACGCTATGAGATAAGAAATCAATTACAGGGAAAAAAACGTAAAAATACACAAACACATGGAGGCTAAACAATACGTTACTAAATAACCAAGAGATCACTGAAGAAATCAAAGAGGAAATCAAAAAATACGTAGAGACAAATGACAATGAAAACACGACAATCCAAAACCTATGGGATGCAGCAAAAGCAGTTCTAAGAAGGAAGTTTATAGCAATACAATCCTACCTCAATAAACAAGAAAAATCTCAAACAATCTAACATTACACCTAAAGCAATTAGAGAAAGAAGAACAAAAACCCCAAAGTTACCAGAAGGAAAGACGACATAAAGATCAGAGCAGAAATAAATGAAAAAAAAAAGAAGGAAACAATAGCAAAGATCAATAAAACTAAAAGCTGGCTCTTTGAGAAGATAAACAAAATTGATAAACCATTAGCCAGACTCATCAAGAAAAAAAGGGAGAAGACTCAAATCAACAGAACTAGAAATGAAATTAGAAATGAAAAAGGAGAAGTAACAACTGACACTGCAGAAATACAAAGGATCATGAGAGATTAATTACTACAAGTAACTATATGCAAATAAAATGGACAACCTGGAAGAAAAGGACAAATTCTTAGAAAAGTACAACTTTCCAGGACTGTACCAGGAAGAAATAAAAAATATAAACAGATCAATCACAAGCACTGAAATTGAAACTGTGATTAAAAATCTTCCAACGGACAAAAGCCCAGGACCAGATGGCTTCACAGGCAAATTCTATCAAACATTTAGAGAAGAGCTAACACCTATCCTTCTCAAACTCTTCCAAAATATAGCAGAGGGAGGAACACTCCCAAACTCATTCTATGAGGCCACCATCACCCTGATACCAACACCAGACAAAGATGTCACAAAGAAAGAAAACTACAGGCCAATATCACTGATGAACATAGATGCAAAAATCCTCAACAAAATACTAGCAAACACAATCCAACAGCACATTAAAAGGATCATACACCATGGTCAAGTGGTGTTTATCCCAGGAATGCAAGGATCCTTCAATATATGCAAGTCAGTCAATGTGATAAACCATATTAACAGATGGAAGGAGAAAAAACATATGATCTCAGTAGATGCAGAGAAAGCTCTCGACAGAATTCAACACTGATTTATGATAAAAACCCTCCAGAAAGTAGGCATAGAGGGAACTTTCCTCAACATAATAAAGGCCATATGTGACAAACCCACAGCCAACATCGTCCTCAATGGTGAAAAACTGAAACCATTTCCACTAAGATCAGGAAAAAGACAAGG